AATACCTAATGTACACATTTTTATTCCATACCGGACAAGAAATAATAAAAAGGATATATTTTTAAATAAAAAATAATATTGAAACTTCTTTTAAGAAAACGTTATTATCAATACAAATTATCCGTTCTTAGAAACAGGCCATATTTCTAAATTTAAAATTAATAATAAAACACAAGTTGCGCTTTTATTTAATTTGCTATAAATTTTGCAATAAAATCTATTTAAGTTATGTTAAACTATTCCCTAATCAAATACACATTTCGAGAATTGAATAAATTTGATGATAAAAAATTGGCCACGCGTTGTTTTATAAATATAGGGATGGTCAAAAGTATCGATTTTTGAAATATCGATACATACCTACAGAGTGAAGATATAGTCATTTTTTTGACTTTTCAAATGTAGAAAGTTACGTCAACCTATATTTTAATACCATTTGAAGTTAACCTGTGGTTCGAAAAGAATTTTTAAGAATATTAATTTCAGATTTGTGTTTAGCTCAACTATAATCCGAAAGATAAAACACCCCCACTGGAAATGTCGGTTATTTATAAAATTTCATGTAAAGATCGTAACCAAAAATATGTTGGGCAAACTAGAAGAGTATTAACTATATTTAAAATATACAGGGTGGTCCGAACTGTATTCCGGAAACTTCGTCAGAATTAGGGAATGCAATCCCGCAAATGCTGGATCCCGCAAATGCGGGATCCCTCTGAGATTCCGCGGGATCAAAGTTGCGGGATTTACCGTGCGGGATCCGCGGGATTGACCCATTACTACTGGGTAATCGAATCGATCTCGATCAGGGTCAAACCGTTTCGTTCCGGGCCGATGCGTCGACGGTCGAAACCCGGGGATTCCCCTTACGGCTTGGTCATTAAGAATAAGTGAAACAAACAGGTTACTTGTTAGATTTCTTTCTGGCCTATGTGCGTAAGTCAAGAAAAGCGTTTAACTAGTACTTGTGGACAATTTCGTCAAATAAACTGCCGGACATATGTAATTATCGGGACAAGCAAAATTTTTGGGTAAATTTAAAGTTGAATAGGCATCTCTTGAACTAAAAAAGATTTTGGGATGCGGTTTGGACCAGGTTTTAGATGCATCTATTGTGATTAAGATGCTATATGGTTTTCGAAAATATATTTAGCAAATTCTCGTATACAGGGTGTTTTATAAGAGTGTGAAAATTTGGTCAAGAATCATTTTTACCGCAAATTTACAATTTAAAAAAAAAAAGAAATGTTTCCCAAGTACGACTAATCTGTAATGAAATTAGAAAAAACAATTTGATAAGTTTTTTAACTTTTTTTGTTTTAAGGAAAATACGACGTTTTTTTGAAAAATATGCATTTTTAGTCATACGTATCGTATCATATATAGGTCGTAAATAGTACAAAAAGCTTTGTACATTCTACATCTGCCAAAAAATTATTGATATAGAGTGTATCTAAAAACAGATAACCAACACAAGTTAAAAAAACTTCAACATTAGAATAATATTTTTATTTATAAAATAAGTAGATAAATTATAATAAAATTTATGTTTATTTAATATTAAATATATTTTTTGAACACCCTTTATACATCGGTCAAAATTTCTGTACAGCTGGTTTAAGATACACGCTATATCAATATATTGTAGGCCTATGCAAAATGTACAATGCCTTTTGTACCATTTAGGACCAAAAGTATGATTATTGTTTACAGTCCCGCAATTTTGGGGATCCGCGGGATTGACTGCTTTAATCCCGCGGGTTTGCGGGATTGAGATTTTGGTGCGGGATTGCATTCCCTAGTCAGCATATTCTGCAGATAAAAATAGGTAAAAAAGTTCTTATAAATTTATGTCCTAAATCATTTTAGTTTCGGAGATACAGGGTGTACAAGTTTCATATTTTTCTCGATTTTTGAAATGAATGATTGATGAAAATTGGTGTTTGGGAGTTTTTTGACATGAGAAATTTGATTTTAATGTCAATATGACTCCTAGTTGTAGAGGGCGCCACCTACATATTTTTAACTGGTTTGAAGAGTAATAACTTTTTGTCCTTACCTGTATAAAATTAGTGAGTAAGAAATATAGATTTACGACATTTTTTACGTAAAAAGATCTCTTGGTAAAAATCGTTACTAAGGAATGGTTCTCGAGATATTTGGAATCGAAATTATCAAGACCTATCATCATTGACATAAATTAAACATATTGACCATAGAGTTAAAAATAAAAAATGTTGACTAACAGTTATTAAACTGAAATCATAAATTTAAAATGTTTTTGTGCCAAAAGTTCAAAAGAAACTGTTTTATATTAATATTTAAAAAAATAAAAATTTTCCAAATTTATTATTTCAGTCAAATTACTATCTACTCAACGTGTTTATTTTTTGGTAAATAATGACATTTATTGACTATTTCTATTCTAAATATCTTGAGAACGGGTGCTCGTAGCGATTTTTACCAAGAGACATTTTTTACGTAAAAAGTCACGGAAATGTACATTTTTTCACCCAGTAGTTTTATACAGGTACGGACGAAAAGTTATTACTCTTCAAAAGATATTGGTATACCTATATCGATATTTTTATCTAAAATAAACATCTCTAATTTGACATTTTTAAGTATTGCCAAACTAGAAAAAATATCTTGTATTGTAATCTAGTTGCAAATATTCGAAACATACGACCCTGGAACCCCGAAAAAACAAACACACATATTGTTATTGATGTTTTCAAAAATAAATCGCGATAAGGGCATTTTTTGTTTTATTTTTAAACCAAAAATCTTTATTTTTGGGTGTCGGGTCGATGGCCCAATCTCCTGTGATAAAATTGTTAATAATCGTTTAATTTACAATAACAATTAAGCTGCTACGTTTTAGCGTGTATACCTTATCGTACGGTAAATTTACACAGAGTTTATTTTATTAAGTTATATATAATAAAACGGTTATTTAATCTTTGCGAAACCAAGAAAATGTAGCGTTAATCTCAAAATGAGGATATATATCAAAAGTTTAGTCTAGACTATGGAGTGTAGAGGTAAGGAGAAACAACTCCGTGCATTAAAAAATGGTCAAAAAAAGGGAAGAATTAGGATGGCGCTGCTGTAGCAAAAACCTAAAATTTAAGACATGCGCCGAACATTTTTAGAACAGCTGAATCAGCTGATTCAAAAGACATAAATATTTGATGTGAATCACATACGTGAAGCCGCGGGTTTCAAAAAAATACAAATTTTATTTTCATGTCACATTAAGTAAATTACAGATGTTTATTCACCAACAATAGACTAGGCCCTGTTTTTATTGTTTCTCATAAGTTATTTCGCAAATGTCATTCAAGACGACGAAAAAATATTCTGATCGTTTTAGCTTAAAATTAATGTTAATTATAATTAAGAAAAATGTTATTTAAAGTAATAATTGGTGATGGGTTTAAAATAGATATAATGCAGCTTTAAAATAACATTCTACCTACATTTATTTAGTATAAAAGTAAGTCAATATATGGTTTTATTATCGATTATTCAGAAGCAATAGACTAAGCGTCTTTTTTATTGTTTCTCATAAGTTATTTCGTAAATCTCATTCAAGATGAAAAAAAGCTTTAGTTTAAAATTAATGTTAATTATAATTAGGAAAACTTTATTTGAAGTTTAATTGATGATATGGGACTTAAATAAATATAATGCAGGTCAAAAATAACGTAATACATTTTATTTAGTATAAAAATTAAGCCAATATAATGTAATTTTATACTGTACAAGTATTTATTTACGTTTCGCCATCGTAGCTGCCATTCATTCAGAATAGTGGATTTTAAATGTTCGATAATCGGATGGCTTAACTACCTTAATATCAACTACTTCTAGACAAGAATCGTGTGCAGTATTATCTTCTTTTTCACTCCCAGCTATTCCAACATTGCTTGCATGGCTTGGGATGTGGAATAATATAATTTTATAGCCCTTCCAGATCTTCATGTCTTCCTTGTAGTTCACCCAATAGAATCGTTCTGGCAGCTTCCTCCCAAGTTGGTAGTTGCTATTCATTCAGAATAGTGGATTTTAAATATATTTGGTAGTCGGATGGTTTAACTATCGTAACAATAACTACTTTTAATAATTCTTTTTCTCAATTCTTTGCACTATAATTTCCAATCCCACGTATTGTAATATTTTCCTTTGAATTTCGTTTCCTATTGTCCCATGGCTTCAGACGTAATGTTATAGCCCTTCCAGATCCTCATGTATATGTCCCTTTTCCTTGTAGTCCACCCAATAGAACCTTTCTCTTAGCCTCCTCTCAAGTTGGTAGTTACCGTTCATTAAGAATAGTGGATTTTAAACATGTTTCGTACTCGGATGGTTTAACTACTGTAACATCATAAATAAACTGTATACCAACACATAATGGCCAAACTTCAACAGACTTTAATATTCATAAACCTCATCGAAAGAAAATATTTTTTGATCCAAAGTTTTTTTTTCGTTATTAGAATAAATTACCTGCAATTTGTTAATTCATTACAACAATGAATAAAAGATGCAAAGTGTTTATACACATACTATAATAGATAAATCTTCACTTAAAATGATGTGATTTAAGATCTGCTTGCTTGTAGGTAGGATCTAGACTCATAAACTCAATAATTTCTTTAGGTTTATTGATATAACCAATAAAGTGGTAATGCTGAAATTTTGTTTTTGATTTGTGCAATAGGGTCCATTATTTCCATTATTTGATGTTGTTATTGCTCTACAAAATGTTGATCTATCAAGGGATGTTTATGTGTATAATATTACTATTTATGCGTATAATAATACTGTATGATCGAAGAAACACGGCGTCCAGTTGGCTTGGAAATGAACATCTCGATGACATTCTCCATATCATTTTACATATAAAATGACAGCAATCTTCATTTCATAGGCATCGCTGACGCCGTTTTTTATTCGATCAAATTGTACTTTTTTATTCTGTTGTTGCTCTCATTTAATGGTTCCTGTTTTAGTTGCTGGTGTTCATATTTTGGTTTTTTATTCTGTTGTTGCTCTACAAAATGTTATTAATTATGTGTATAACATTACTCTTTCTGTGTATAATAATATACTTATGGGTATAATATTCATTTAATGGTGCCCTTCTTGCTTGTTGCTGTTGTTGCAACTCAGAATTTAAATTAACTTGAGGCAGTAGGTAGAGCTTCATCCTCCAATATTTTCCTATGTAAATACTGCAAGTGGACAGTATTTCTGATGACAATTTTATCATAAACTTTAACATCTTGTTCTTTAAAATGAAACCTTATCTGTAGATTTCAAAGCAATATCTAAATGCTTTTGACCATCGCTGTAATCTAATTCTTGTCTAAAAATCAATATCTCATGTGAATTATCATCATGTCTATTATCCTAATGATTTTGATTTTGATAGATTATTAAAATACAGCACTTACAGTTTTCCATCAGCTATTCAATCAACTTCGCACCACACACACTTTAACCATTGTTAAATAATAAATAAAGCACAAAATATTGATAAACAATAATTATTTAATATTCTAAAAATAAAACAAAAACTTTTTTGGTAATGTTTGGTTATATTTATTTTTATTCTCTTATCTATGGTAACTTTTCATTTTTTAGATTTATGCATTTTTAGGGCTACTGTGGTTATTTGGCGAACCCTTATTCTTCCCATTTTGTGACCACTTTTTCAATAAAAGTCCCATAAGAGTTATTTCTCCTTACCTCTACACTCCATAGTCTAGACATAAGATATTTTTACCTTAAGTGTTTATACATACTATAATAGATAAATCTTCACTTAAAATGATGTGATTTAAGATCTGCTTGCTTGTAGGTAGGATCTAGACTCATAAACTCAATAATTTCTTTAGGTTTATTGATATAACCAATAAAGTGGTAATGCTGAAATTTTGTTTTTGATTTGAGCAATAGGGTCCATTATTTCCATTATTTGATGTTGTTATTGCTCTACAAAATGTTGATCTATCAAGGGATGTTTATGTGTATAATATTACTATTTATGCGTATAATAATACTGTATGATCGAAGAAACACGGCGTCCAGGTGGCTTGGAAATGAACATCTCGATGACATTCTCCATATCATTTTACATATAAAATGACAGCAATCTTCATTTCATAGGCATCGCTGACGCCGTTTTTTATTCGATCAAATTGTACTTTTTTATTCTGTTGTTGCTCTCATTTAATGGTTCCTGTTTTAGTTGCTGTTGTTCATATTTTGGTTTTTTATTCTGTTGTTGCTCTACAAAATGTTATTATTTATGTGTATAACATTACTTTTTGTGTGTATAATAATACTTATGGGTATAATATTCATTTAATGGTGCCCTTCTTGCTTGTTGCAACTCAGAATTTAAATTAACTTGAGGCAGTAGGTAGAACTTCATCCTCCAATATTTTCCTATGTAAATACTGCAAGTGGACTGTATTTCTGATGACAATTTTATCATAAACTTTAACATCTTGTTCTTTAAAATGAAACCTTATCTGTAGATTTCAAAGCAATATCTAAATGCTTTTGACCATCGCTGTAATCTAATTCTTGTCTAAAAATCAATATCTCATGTGAATTATCATCATGTCTATTATCCTAATGATTTTGATTTTGATAGATTATTAAAATACAGCACTTACAGTTTTCCATCAGCTATTCAATCAACTTCGCACCACACACACTTTAACCATTGTTAAATAATAAATAAAGCACAAAATATTGATAAACAATAATTATTTAATATTCTAAAAAATAAAAACAAAACTTTTTTTGGGTAATGTTTGGTTATATTTATTTTTATTCTCTTATCTATGGTAACTTTTCATTTTTTAGATTTATGCATTTTTAGGGCTACTGTGGTTATTTGGCGAACCCTTATTCTTCCCATTTTGTGACCACTTTTTCAATAAAAGTCCCATAAGAGTTATTTCTCCTTACCTCTACACTCCATAGTCTAGACATAAGATATTTTTACCTTAAGTCTTACCTATTCAGTCAAAAACTATCAAGTTAAACTTTTTGCCAAGACGAAAAATTGACGTTAGATCCCCAGGGATCCACAGTTTGTGTCGTCGGGGGTCTACGTTAGCGTGAAAAGTAAATGGGGGTTCACAGTTATAAGTGGAGATCCACGAAAATTTATCTGGTCTTGATATCTACATAGTAAAGAACAAAAATGTTGGTACACTACTCACAAAACTTGTGATTAAAGCAATTAACAAAATAAGAAGCAACGCGTATATTTGCATAATAATACGGCGAAAACGACGAAGGCTTCCAACTTGCTCTTACACACTGAAGCACGCTTGTTGTTGAAAGGTGCATGTTTAACAAGATTTTACTCACTTTTTGAATCAGTTTTAGAGTTTCTAAAAAGTAAAGATCCAGATTTAAAAGAAAACGAGATCCAATTGAAAGCAGCCATCGGTTATTTGACAGAAGATATGTTCGAAAAATTCAATAACATTAAGTTGCAATCAATGACTAAAGAATACAAGGACAAATAGCACCCGAGACCAAACTGTGGCCATTCTTCCAAACAGTGCCGTGGCACATATTTTTCTTAACATAGCCGCTTGGAGCGATATTTTTATTTTTGATAAATGTTTTCACTACGCCTATGGTGTATCTGGTGGTATCATACTAATTAATTACGAAAAAAACGTATTAAAATGTTAACAAAAGGTACAAAACTAGTATCGACGTATAGCACATATCAAGTACATATATTATGAGAAAAATTATTATCGAATTCAATAAAAAAAAAGCTAAAAAGTCTTGCAAGACCAAGACTCTTGCAAGAAATTCAAGACAAGCCTTTCATATGCAAGAAATTTCAAGAGTCTTGCAAGATTTCTTGAAAGTTAGAAATGATACATCTTTTTAAGTGATAATTAGGTCTTTGCGCAAGTTATGCCGGGTTTATACTACATTTGCATAGTCATAATCATAAAAGTTAAACTATCCACTTCTTATAAACCTGTTGACATTTACCATGAACTTAGCCTTTAATTCTGTTACCCACCTTCACTGATATAAAAATTATGATTATGAAAATGTTCTATAATCGCACATTAAAATTGCGTTGCGATTATGACGATGATTAAGACTGTGATTATGATTACGATTTATGCAAATGTTGTATAAACCCGGCATTAATATTGTCCAGTATTCATTTTTTTTCTATCATAGCCAGTGTTTTAGAGTTGAGAATGAAATAAAATAAAGTCAAGGCAACAAACCGTATATTGGTAATTGGTTTTATACACAAAATTATATTGGTATAATGGTATTATAAAAAAAACTAACGATAAGTAGTTGAAACTAATGGTGGGTTCGTGGAGCACGCTATTTGCGCTATTCGGTACTACTTTTCATGCACGAAATTGCTCCGCGAACAAAAAGTTGTATCAAATAGCGGAAATAGTACACTCTAGCATGACCTTTCCGTACACCCTGTGTCCAAATTTTTCCAACCAATCTTCCATAATAAATAAATAAAATAAATACCACAAAAAGTAAAAGTAACACACGATTAACCAAAATAGAACATAATAAACTAACAAGAACTAACAACTAGAACTAAAAAATGAACACACAAGGTTAGGTACGAAATAATAACCCAAAATCCATGAATCCATTATCTGACAAACGGATCTAAAACAGCAAGAGGAATTCGGGCAAAAAAAATCGACGTTGTCACGTTTAATAATAGAAAAGCAAAGTTGCTCAATATTACCTATAAGTTGAATATATTTTAGTTCATTTCAACATACATCATTATATATATGCTAATATCTTGACGTTGTTCTTATAGTATTAATGTATATTTATCTAATTAACTAATTTCCTTCATTTTGCCTATTATAAAAGGTAAAGTATTTCCTAAAAATAACGTCCGCTTAGGGCAAGCTGGCAACGCTGACAAAATTCATCATGGCATTCCGGATTCAACCAATCTGATTGGTCGAGATTCTCGCACGTCTTGTCGCCATTACCCTCAACTCTATGCCCCTCTCTAGGAATGGTAGAAACAGCCACTACTACTGCAAAATCCAGTGGCGGTGTATTATATTGTGTTTTATGCCGTTAACTTGATTTCTGCTTATTGTAATTAGTACACGCGTTTTAACAAATATTACTATATTTGGCAAATGACTAAACAAAATGTAGGTATATTTAAAGTAAAATAATATTATAAACTTTACTGGAAAATATTATAAAAATTATTGATATATTTTTATGAAACACCGCACGCTCCTGGATATTTTATGAATGAAATCGGTCATGATTTCACAAAATTGCGATCCCCTTACCGTTGCCCCGTTGTCTCAGATCCGTTTGTCCGACTTGTAACTTAACCTTACTTATTCTTATTCAGCTTTTATTTGGTAATGGTCCCTGTTTCATCAAACGGGCGATTTGGCGTAGTTCGTTTGCGGTCCGTTAAGATTTTTTTTACTAAAATTGGCATCGTTGTTGTTCATTTTTCGGTATTACATTTTGTATACGATTTATTACCTTTTTGTTAGAATGTAAAATTTTTCAAGACAAGAAATTTCAAGAGTCTTGCAAGACAAGACAAGACTTTGCCATTCAAGAAATCTGCAAGACAAGACTTTGAAAATTTCTAGTCTTGAATTTCAAGACAAGACAAGAAATTGATTTTCAAGACAAGAATTCTTGTCTTGTGTAACACTATAGTGGACTGTTTATTTCCCTATAAAACATATCTCCTGGCTCTTTCTTATCATTGCGCCAAATATTTTTCGCCTGTTCCTTTTTTACCCCTGTATTGTTGTACCAAACCTTCATCTCATTCTTTCTTTATGTTAAAGCACTTCCAGGTCTTTGCAAAATTTGTTGCAAGGCATACATTTAATAACATCTAAAGTCTAAAGGTGTATTTTCGTTTTTTCTCGAAAATTTTAAATTTATGAGGCAAAATATTATTTGGCGTGAATTCTCCCTACGTCCAAACTTGTCAAAGAAGAGGATATTTATCACAGACAGAATGTTTTGATGAGGATTGTATGTTTTGATGAGGATGTAGATTGCAAATTGTATGGGAGGAAGGAAGTTAAAGACCGCGACCTTATAGATCTATTATGTCCTTCTTTCTTAAGTCATAACTCTCCATACAGTCTCATACAGCCAGTATCGGTTTTACAGAGGTTGGTTCTCCATCTCCGATCTCTATCTATGATTATCGTCTCGGCACACTCAGTGATGAGGTGCTCTGGTGTTTTTCCATTTTTCACACAGTGTCTGCATTCGTCCTTATTTCCTAGATTCAATATATTGAGAGGTTCATTGAGGAGACTGGTACTAGGGACTAGTTTTGGTATTTTCTCGTTTTTTCCCCACAATATGCATTCGCCTTTGTTTCTTAGCTTCATTGTGAGAGACTCTCCTGTTAAAATCTCATGACAATTGAAAGATTGTTCTTAAATCAAAGAAAATCTTCGATTTTTCTCGGTCGTAAGTTCTGAGAAATTGTTTCGAGTGTCTTAGACCGGGGGTTGAATAATTTCCATTCCAGGTCACGGATGTAGTCTTCCAGGTTCTTGAGTTCCGCTTGTTGGTTTCCACTTAAGGAGCCGAACGGTTCTACTCCAGTTAGTGGAGTGTAGGCTCCTTTTCTAGCTAGATCGTTTGCTTTTTAATTACCTTCTATCCCTTGGTAGGCAAGCACCCAGATTAGGAAGAATTTATTTTCTTGACTTAATTTGTTCAGGAGGCATTGTTTGACCAACTTCGAATTGAGGGTTACTGAGTTGATCGCTTTTAAGGCTGCTTGACCATCGGAAAAGATGGCTATTTCTTATTTCCAATAGCTCCTATCTAAGATAAGTTGTACGCATCTTTCGATAGTGTAAATTTCTGCCTGAAGAATGCTGGGGTAAGTGCCCATTGGTTCGGAGTTTTTCGTTTTCTGCCTAAATACTCCTATCCCAGCTCCTGCTTTGGTTTTGGAAGCATCACATACTATATATTTTTATGGTGTTAACTGCTAAGCAAACGTTTCTCTCTTCCATTTCTCTCTACTCAATACTACAGTGAAGTATTTCTCAAAGTTGCACATTCTTGGTATGTCATCCACTGAGATGTGTCATCCACTTGGTGTGGCATCCAGAGGAGTGGGATTTTCCTGTTCAGGGTGTTCCAAGCCCTTAAAACTGACAGGTAAAACGTTATGTGTAGATAGGACTTTATAATATCTGTCATAAAGGTGTATAGACTTTATTCACTATTAACAGAAGCAATTTGGGATTTTTTTGCAAAGAAACAAAATAAAAATTTCCGTCGATTATGTGTAAATGTTATATTTAAATAATAAACTTACTGATATATTCTGATGCCACAATCCATTATCCCAGCCAATAAATAATTGTCCTTTTGTTTATGTTCGATTGACGCCTCCTTTTACAGTTGTTATCGAGAAGAATGATGCATTTTGCTCCTTCTTTTGCACACTATCATTGTTCCCCTATCTTAAGTTGCATGCAGGTTATCCAACAATGCTCATTTCTTATTTTATTTTTA